GCTGTTCCCTCCGGGCCCCTCTGTTGCCCCGGCCCCGCCAAGCCGTGCGCACGGCCTGGCTCAGCCCGCTGCCCCTCCTTTTGCAGGGTAAAGGACACAGCAAGCAGATACTGGTGCTGGGCCTGGATGGGGCTGGGAAAACCAGCGTTCTCCACTCCCTGGCAACTAACCACGTCAAGCGCAGCGTGGCTCCCACCGAGGGCTTCAATGCCATCTGCGTCAACACCGAAGAGTCCCAGATGGAGTTCCTGGAGAGTGAGTGAACCTGTTTTAGTATGGAACGTAAAATAAGTTCCTGTTCTGTGTCCTAGGGGTCAGGCCCATATTTTAAAAGCTCTGTACTCCCCTGTGCCTGCTTTGATAACGCGGAGTTGTGATTATTTTCGCCTTGGGGATTCTGCTTTCCCGTTCCCACTCCTTGAATGAAGATGGTACACTGGTGTTAGAAGGGGTCTATGTTCGTTCAGCCCGGTCCTCCAGGGAGTTCTGCTGCTGGAGAGAGAAGGGTAACGAGACCGATTGCGTGAAACCAGCCCAAAGCAGAGATGTCCCCAGTAAGCCCTGTGTCGTGGTCCATAGCCATTGTGTGTTGTACAGCATCTCCTTGGTGCCCGTGCCTGCTGCAGGGCAAGAGCAGAAGAGGAATAAATAAGGTGAAAGAAGAGAGGAGGAAGAGAAAAGCTTTGTAAGCTTTTTCTTCAAAAGCCTCATGAGTGGTGGCTTGTAGTCTTCAACGGCTTTTGAACATCTGTAGGTTTTCGCTAAACTTTCTGTGTTGTCCTTAGCACTGATTTTGGGGTATTGTCCGTGCCTGCAGAGAGAATTCCCTGTGATGCTTCTGGGGCGTCACAGCTGCTCTAGGTGTAGCTAGCTGCTGGGGAAAGTAGAGGCCCTGGGGTCAGGTCAGTCCCCGGTACAGAGAGGCTGACATCCTAGCCTCATCGGTGCCTGCCCTCTGTGGAGGCAGAGGCTGCCCTTGGCTTCCTGCTGTTTCTGCACTGTGCTGGACCAGTGCTCGACTGGCTCAGTTGGCAGCTAGCCCACAGGCGCCTCCGTACCTTTGTCAGCAGGCCTAAAGGAGTTGTGCTGTTCCCAGGTAAGTCTTTGGGATGTGAGGATGAGGCCACTAAGGCAGAGTTCTGTTCCCAGTCCTACTACCATAGGAGTCTCTGTGGTGTCTCAGGGAGATCATCTCTCCAGAGATGCTCGTAGCTTGTGCCCCTTTTCTATTAGGTATGAGACACCTGTGTCTCCTACTGGGAGGTGCTTTGCGTAGCCTAGCCCAGAGAACCCCACAGCATCTCTGCTCCTGCCTGGGGATGGCCTGGGCCCAGCGCTGCGCACCCCACAGCAGAACCTGTTGTTTCTGAGTCGTCCTTCCCTCTCTGGTCCAGGTTGGTAGTGACTGAGATGTGATGGCTGCGATCTGACCCATGGGAAATGAAATGTCTCAGGCCAGTTTCAGCCAGGTAAATCCGTGCATGGCTCTCTAATCTGGTTACTTATCCAGTCTGTACCACTGTACGCTGCTTAGTCCAGGGGTTAGCAGCCTATGCTGTGATCGTGTGGCACAAGATGACCGGCAGACAGCACGGTTTTTATTTTGCTGGCTAATACAGATAGAAAACTGTTCTATCTTTCCCTTTGTACTATCATACAGATAAGTAGGTGGTATCTTGCCTCTGCAAGGGAGAGGAGCTCCTGGCTTCTGAAGAGTTCCTTCTGGTTTGGAAAAAAAAAAAATGTTCGCTGTGAGGTTGCTGACCCCTGGGTTATGCTATGCATGAATGCACTTAACAGAGGGAACGGTGGTGAGCCCCCAACACGTCACAGGACAGAATCAGAGGCATCTGTCCCAAGCGTGACATGTCAGTCACAGCCCTTTGGCTCCTCTCCACAGTGGAGACTTGCAGTTCTGCCTGCAGATACACCGGGGCTCTTGAAGAAGAGTCAGGCACGCCCTAGTGGGAAATGTTGCTTCCCGTTCTACATTCTTGAAACTACTGAATCATTTTGACGTTAGTGAAAGCAAAATTTCTTTGAAACAGAGCAGAGTCACAGAGGGCAGTAAAAGGTGGCTGACTAGCAAGTCAGTTTTGAAAAGAGCTCCTGTATAAGGCAGGAGACAATTACAGGGAGCCCCAAATGTATTGCTTTGAAAACTGGCTACGTTTGGGGGACTTACCCGTGCCTTTTGAGCACCTTGGTACTCTTGAACAAGTGGTTCTGCAGTGTAACTAGGAGAAGACCTGGAGAACTGAAACCAGATCTGAAATACTTAATATGCTGTTGCTACTCCTGCTTCTATCAAACTCGGCAAACTACCAAACTCTTTTTGTCCCCAGATGGGAACAACAGTCTTGGGCAACTTGCTGCATACAGTTTCACCACAGAATTGTTCTAAGACCTGGTTTTGAAGGTGGACAGCTTCCCTCTGTATCCCACAAAGAAGGGGTCAGGGGTATCCTGTGCAAAGATTTCTCCCATCACCTAAAGAGTCTGCTGGGACTTGATTTTTCTCTCTTCCTAACCATCTCTGCTTATTGGCAGTATGAAAGCTGTGGCAGTTTTGAACTAGTCTCTAGTGTTGTACAAATCTGATGAGAGCCCTCCCCACCCCAGAGCTAAATTTCTTCTTTGGAAATTGTAGGCCTGCTTTTTAAAATGAGATGGGCATGTGGAGATAGGTTATATGGAGACATTCTCACATGGTGTTTATGGACACTGAACCTCTTTCAGCTCTCCCTACCAGCTTGAGAGCAAGAATGAACAAGGCAGAAAACAACCATAAAGAAACTGAACCCAGAATCCTCTCAAAATAAGAGTGGGTATTGTGGAAAGAGAATTTTTTTTTTTTCTTCCCCAGAGCATAAACACATGCCTGCGTGGGACTTGACTGGAGAAAATAAAGCTATTTCCAGTCTTACATAGAGTAGCCCAAATACTTTGAGTTTTTGCTAACCCAAACACCTTGGGTGCTGTCTGCACCTCTGGGAGCCATGCTGCTTGGATTACGTGGTGAATCTTGTGCTGTTGTCTCTCTTCCAGTCGGGGGCAGTGAATCTCTGCGTTCATACTGGAAGATGTACTTGCCCAAAGTGCTGTTGCTAATCTATGTCGTGGACTCGGCCGATCATGCCCGACTGCCTGTGGCAAAACAGCTGCTTCATCAACTGATCCAGAACAACTCTACCCTGCCGGTGGTGGTTCTGGCCAACAAGCAGGTAAGAGTTCCCTGCTGCTAGCTGAGCTTGGGCTGGCAGCAGCTCTGAAAACAGCAACAGAGCCTTTCAAAGGAGGCTTCATGTATCTAAGGAGGCCAGCGGCTGGGAGCTGGGGGGTCTTTCTGGGACACCTGTTGACCACAAAAGAAATCTGAGGATGAGTTCTGGATCTGCAAGGTGTGGGTTCCTGTGCTTGGAGATGGTGGCAGAGCTGTGGGTGGAAATAATGGTGGAAACTGCTGTAGAGTTGTGAGGTTTGAGAGCTGCAAGGGAGACCACAGTTAGACATAGAGTTAGGTTTCTGTTCTGGATGTCTGTCTAGAAGTACCGCTTTACCTAGCAGCAGCCGCAAAGCAAATCACCATTGTTTGCCTTCCAATTAGTTGGCTGCTCCTAAGGCTGCTGCTGAAGCATGAGAGGAGAGCAGCTTTCCTCCCAAGGCAGTGCTTTCCCCTAAAATCTTTGCCAAAGTGTCAATGACTGGTGCTGTGCCTGGAATAGAATTGTGCCTGTGGTACGGTCAGATGATGGAACAGCCCAGTGTTTATAAGCCCAGATTTTCTTTTACGAGGGCCATGTGCTCGGTTTGCTCTACGTTGTTACCTCCTAAATTTCTAGTAACTTAGCCATGTTACTAGCAGTTGTTTGTGTTGCTCTTGAATGGAAGCACAGGCTTTGGCTTCAGCAAACACAAATGCTGATACTGATTCTCTAGGTCCCGGAGTCAGAAACGCTGGTGGCTAGGAAGGTACGCAGGGAATGACTGTTACATGTTTGCCCTGTTCTTGTAACTCTCTGCTGGGCGCCTGGGGTCTTGGGCCAGCAAGACTTCTGTCTGCCTTGTACAGGTAGTCTTATATTGCTATCAGAAGCACTGGAATTACTAGAAACAGAACCATACCCTTGTTTCTTTGGGAAGAAATTAGGTTAAGGATAAATACTTCCCCCCCCCCAAAGCATTTTAGGGCACGGGAACTTGATCTCCTAGAAGGTACATAAGAATGGTGCCCCCAGAGCCTTGAGACCCTTCCCCTCCCTGGACAAAGGCAGTGGCTCAAAGCAGGAATGGTGCCGCCACCTCATGCAAATAACAGGCTTGTTTTGTTTTTGCGTTATCAGGACCTCGAAGGTGCGTATTGCATCACCGATATCCACGATGCTCTGGCACTGTCTGATATTGGGGACGAGAGGAAGATGTTCTTGATTGGTACCCACGTGGCAGAGGACGGCTCTGAGATCTCCTCCAGCATGAAGGATGCCAAGGAGCTGATAGCACAGCTGGTTTTGGAAACACAGTGACAGCTCTTTTCCTGCAATGTGATATCTGCAGCTGAGGGGGACGAGGTGTTAGTGTATGGTCAGTTTGCTGTGTGGCGGCTGAGATGTACAGATAGCTTTTCCTTGTGGGCGTGGAATTCCTATGAAAGTGATGTCTAGTTGGTAAGAAAATCTGATTTATAGTGGTTTGAAAATACATTTGAAAAGTAGTGTATTTTTTAGCATAGTTGTAGGGGAAAATTAGTCTCTCCGACAGCAGAGTTAAGGGGATATAGAGCTTAGATGGGCTGAGATGGCTTCTTGCCAGGTGGAAATCAAGCATTGACTTCAGTGGAACAAAGTCGTATCCAGTGAATTTAACCTGGCTCAATGTCTCAGGCTTAAACTGAAATAGGTTTACTTCGCAGGTTTTGCAGAACCCTGTCAACAGCGCTGTTAAAATGAGACCTCGCTTCTTGAGAGCGTCAGAAACACAAAGTGCTGCGACCAGTAGTTTTGATGGTGACGATTTTTGTTGTCACTGTGTTGGAGCTGGCTTTTAAGGGAGTGGCAAATTGGTAATCTCTGGAGATTGGGTTGGTTACTGCTTCTTCAGTAGATAAGAACAAGGAAATGAAAGCGAGAAGACATGAAGTGTTTCTCTGCCTACAGGGGAAAAGCAGAACAGTGTAATCTAAGATAGTGACTGAAACCATTTAAGTTAAATTGACACCAAAGGTGGGAGACTCCTCCATCCGGCTGAGCGGCTCGTTTTGGTTTAGTCCAGCTTGCCCTCCAGCAAGCACTCTTAGGTGTGAAGAGCCTGTTGTTTTTTGAAAGCAATTTCTGTCAGCCCAGCAGGTGAGGAAGATGAGTGTCTGACAGGTGTCACTCTCCCAGGGCCCTCGTGGTTACGCTCCAAGGACGCGGTCCAGGATCCGGGCAGTTCTGTACAGGTCCCGTTTTGCCACCGCATGTGTTGTGGGAGGGTTTTCGAGTTCCGTGCTTTGCAACGGGCGCATAAAGCAGAAAATTTCACCCTAACCAGTGGTCCGGGCTTCATTCACCCCAGACCCCCTTGCGTAGCCGCCTTTAAA